GATTATCTTGCCAAAAATCGCATGAGAATCGGGTCAATTTAGTGAGATGCACTAGATAGGTTATGTGACAAAGTATTCTCATGAATGTAGGTTGACATATTAATACACACGCCTGGGTAACTTGTGCACGTTAGGTAAAAGCTGCACTCGATTCGAATGAGAACGCGTCTCCGGAGGATTGTGCGGCTTTAGAACCGTTGATGAATTTTTAAATGTACGCCGTTTGCTCTCATTTTTCGCTTTTAACCACAATAAATTTTTTTTCATTTCTCCCTGTGAATTATTCAAAACAAAAAATTTCTTAATTAAATTCCAAAAAAATGTATACTCAACCATCTAAGGTCTATTTATCTCTTACTCTTTATCGGAATTTGAGTTACTAATTCAGTATTATGTTTTAGATTGCTACAGAATTTACTACTGTTGCTGATTATTAATCTGTATTGACATTATACCTAAACTAAGTTACGATATTAATTAGGTAAAGTGAGCTTGGGTACGCCATATATGTAATTGAAACCAACATCCAGGCATTCAGAATTTCAGTTGTGGTGTAAAATACATATCCAAATTACTAATTTCATTCACTATCCAGTACATGTATTATCGTCAGGAAAAAAAAATCGACGATTGAAATTCAACTGAGATTTGTGAATTTAATTATTCAGGTTCGAATAAACATCATATAATGCCGAAAAATATAAAAGAATTAATATAAATTCATAAATCTTTGTATCTAGAAAACAAAAAAAATTAATTTAATGAAATTGAATTATTACAATACCAGAACCGAACAATAGTTTAGCACTCTGTTCCTATACAAATAGTCTGCCAGCAAGTGAAAAAAATTTTTTTACTTATTATGAATATAAATAAATAAAAATAAAGTTTTAGTTTTTCAGTTCAATGGAGATTCATTAAAAAATAAGTAACAAGAACGAATATCTACTGAAGTGAATTTTTTTTTTTTCTTAGAAATTTGTATTCATCAGTAGTTGTAGATAATTAGTTCATTCCGGTAACATTAAACTTGAAATATTAGAAAGAAAAATGAATTCATTAATAACATTTTAGATTTTATTCTTCCACTAGAAGTAATTAACAGATGGCTTTGTAATTAGATAAAAGAGATGAATAAAAAATGAGAATGTAAAGAGAGATGGTGAGAACCGATTCAAAGTAGAAAAAATTCCTTAGCTAATTATTTTATTATCAAGTACAAAGAAAAAGCAATGCATATATTCAAAGGTTCCTTCGAGAACAGAAGACGTAATCTGAAAAAAACTTTGTTATGGAGCAGTATTGTTTGGCAGTGGTATTGCAGTGTGCAGTCAACAGCATAGTCCAAACAATAAAACACTGAAATAACCTCCTGGCTATGGTGTAGTCTTCGGAATAAAATTTACCGGTCGGAAGTGAATTTGCACTGGAGGAAATGAGGGTATATCGAAGAGGTTTTCAACTCTTACCAGAGCGTGACCTCAAATTCCTTTTAAAGACATTAGCCGTGAGTTGCCTTCAAACGTCGATAAACTTATTCATGCTTTTTTTCCGCAATACTTTGTTATATTTATAGAGAAAACATTTATGAAAAAATCTAAAGAAAAAAAAGCCTCTTGCCTCGATAATGTTACAAGAGAAACGGATCTTTCTATTCAAGAAAATTAAATTAAATAAACTTTCAATGTTATTCAATTTTTAGATATGAATACGTGGAACCACTCAAAACATATTTGATGTACTTTTGCTGAATAAAACTTTATGATATTTCAATGAAATTATTCAATCGACTTAAATAATGTTTTTCTGTAAATTACTAGTTAAGATGAATTAATTTTTGGAAAATAATTAGATGTATTTATTCAAATGACTTGAACAATACTTGACATTCAGAAGTAAAATGAAAAAATAGTCGAGATTTTGGTTTTGAAACCGGAAATAGGTTAAGATATTTTTGTCAATGTCATGACTCATATTATGAATGCATTAGCTGTATGCATTTCATAAACTCATTCATCAATTTTTTTCAAGTAATTAACATGAATTTATATGCTTGATTTAACTTTGTATTTCAGTTGAATATTTTAATGGTCACAAAAAAATAAAATAAAAACAGTAATCTCAAGAACACCTTGTTACATGAACTTTAAATAGATGACAAATTGAATTAGCTATACATCCAAAATTACTAAACACCTTGCAGAATAGCACAAACTTTAGTTCTTGCGCTTAATTTTGTGCGGTGAAATGTCTGGACTCTAGACCTTTCCATAACTTTATGAAATTGCTCTGTGTTCATTTAGTTCAGGGTCAAAGTCGATATTTACTTTGGGCAAGAATGCGAATATGCTTTGCGAAAACTATAAATATTTCTGCGTCCAAGAATTGGAATGTTTTTTTTTTTTTTTTAAAACCATTATTTTGTTGATTTAAAAAAATGCTGAACATTTTGTACATAAGGTGAATTGTAGCTCGTATTTTATTGCGTGAAAAATTTTCATAATTCATATGATAAACGATGATAGTCTTTATAATTTATGAGTACATTCTATATACCAAGTAATATGTGGCTGGAAATATACGCATTCCAAGCATAATTTTTTTATCATTTGTATCAACATTTTTTAATATCTCATCCATTAACAATTTTTATAGATGTGGGAAACGATGGAAAATTCTCGAAAAACTTTTTATTATATAAAAAATACCGTAATTCAGTGAAATATTAAAAAACATACTATTGTAACAAGATGTTTTAAAAATTTTATTGTTATTGATCAAATATAATTTTTTTATGAATAAATTCTTTTTTAATATAAATGGTATTCCATAAACAAAAAAGTTATGAACAATTTAACGAAAAAGTAATAAACCATTCAATAACATATTAAGCTCTTTTCAAAACCATATCAATGAACTTTAGCTTTTTTTTTATTTTTTGTAAATAAAATTTTTCTTTTTTTAAAATGCTCACCACAATATTGAATGCTGTAATTATATTACCTATAGGTGAGCATAATTTTAATTCCCCATTTGGCATTATGCAATGAATCTTACGGTGAAAAATGATTATTTTTCCAAGTAGTATGACTCAATGTTGTTCCGACCTGATTATTTCTCCTTCAAACCCATAAATTCATATTTTTTAGTCTCAAACATATCTCCACCATTTTTCATCATAACTGTTAAGATAATAATGAAAAATTTTCTAATTGCACATTAGTATAAGTAACATTGCATTTGCCAATACAACAGGGAGTATTCTAGCATTACATTAGTTGGAAAGAGTGATTACATCGTCTCTGTTAATTAATTAATCGGCTACGATGTGCAAACTCTGACAAAGTAAATTATTCACATAATGTTACCATACGATGGATCTATAATTATTAATATTATTTAAGTTAAAATCCAGCATACGTATTATTATGCATATACAATCAACGAGATTCGTTATAGTAACAAGGTTATGCTGAAATTGAATATTTCAATCGCTTTTTGGTATTAGAATTTAGTATTTGATCGTAGACGACATTCAATCAGTCTACCAAAATCCAAAACTCAATTTTTTACTTTACAAAATAAAAAGAAACAATTGGTATAAATAATTTTTTATTTTAATTTAAAATTAAATTACTTGAAAAAAAAAAATTCTCAACATAGAAACATCTCTTTTGGAGCAATAAATAAATAATAAATAGATATATATTTGTCAGGATGTATCTTGGGATAGATTGCTGATCGGAAGTATATAAAGACGTAGACATAAAGTTTTACGTGATATCTAAAAGAATTTATACCGTGTCTATATGTCGGATTTGCAGACTATACATGTGGTAGAGACTATTTGTAAGAATAATAAATCTTTTGTAACAAAGGCTCCGAAAGCTAGCATCTATTAATCGTCGCCATTTTATCTTTTTTACTATCAAAAGAATAGTGAAAGCATTTCAAATGTGCCGCATATAATGTTTTATGACTACATTATCGAAAATCTATTCGACTTTTAGTTATCTTTTATACAAATATAACATTTTTATATAAAAAAAAAAAAAAAATACTGTCATTTAAATTAATTTTCAGTTTCAAAAACTCTATTTACACATGCCTGAAAAATAGATGTATGTGTTAATTCAAAAAACATTCGTATATATTCTGAGAAGCGAGGGAAATATTATAAAACTGAATGAGTAGAAAAAGATTTTTCTCGTTTCAGTTCTGAACAAAATAAATACAAGAAAAGATTCAACATCGTCGCGTCTCTTATAAATAAGGTCATGCTCAGCATTACTAGACTCTTCTAAGCTGATTTCCAAGCTACCTGCAATGAGCCTTATGTATACTTATGTTAAGCTCAAAAGTATAGACACGTTTACAAATAATATGTTAGTAAGTAGTTTAACAACATATTAATTAAATTCTTTTTCTTTCACATGCTTCTTATAGAATGTATTCAAATATTTATCTACTTCATCTCTTTTTGTCTCTGTACATTTAATATTAATGATAATGTTATCATTTTGATTACCATTCGAACGCATATATTTTCTTGCGTTATTCAAATATTATGTAATTAATTTTTTTAAGGCATAGATCATGCATAAATATAGCTAAATTAATTAAATATTATTATATTTAATAATTATATTCACAATATTTAGTTTAAACAGAGTCACTGGGAATATTTGACATTTATTTATAATCATTTTCGATTATAGTATTTTTTCTGAAATGATGGAATTTATTGGATTTAAATTCTAATTATAAAGTTATTAATTTCAGTGACGAATTTTATGCAATAACGAGGAATATTTCGACATGCAATGTTATTATGCATAGAGAGAGTAGAGTTGGACGATAAAACTTTTACGATAGAATTCAAAACCAAATATTTTTTGATGAATGTAAAAACGATAGGATCTGGAACTACGCAATAGATGCAACTACACTGACAATCTATATAACCCAGTGACATCTAAATATAGAGTCACTCTACTCACCGAGTACGAGAAGCAGCAGAACTTGTTGCGGGAGCCGGGCCACCATTGTGGACTCCTCTCGCTCATTTATGTATTTAAATCGAGCACGTTTCTCGTCTCTCGATTTCACTATCACTATCACAAATGCCCGGGGCAAACGCATCCATTTGATGTTGAACCTGGTCCCGATTATACCTGTCCACCCTTAACTGCCCACTAGAGTTTTTTTGGTTATCAATTTATTGAATTGCTCTTCGTAGAAAAGCTCTATAAAAATCTTATCCAATTATTTTTATACTAATTTCTATCACCATATTCCAGAATTACTCGGTTCACGTACCAATGTGTACATATGTATGCACAATGCGTACTATTGCACGAATATCTTCAGTATATAGTGGAGTTCAAGAACATACTAACCAATATATATCTTACAAACGTGCAATTTATGCTCATAGTATCTTTCATATACCTAATGTGCTTTCACATGGTGCTGTGCTCTACATGACTCTTGAATTTACACCTGCCCCTATATCGAAGAAGAGTAAAATATGATTTTTCTAAATTGTATTATGTCGTGAAACGGTGAAAGATGTAGATGCTATCTGTGAGATAATATCATTTTTCTCACATAAAAGAATGAAAAATATATCTGGATGATAGATATGAATATATCACATGAACATCGGGTCACATCTCCAATGCATAATCTTTATTACATTGCACAGAAAAGTGTTGAAATGTGAAACAAATTGAAAACCAATATTATTTTTACTAAAAAGAAATTCGATAATTTTTGCTCCAACAAAGTTCGTTTTTTTTTTTTGTATTCAAGTATAAATCAATGTTATCTTTGAATTTTGTTTTTAAATTTTTTCGATGCTGCTTTGTTATGAAAATAAGTATATTCGTTTAGGAAGGCACATATTCTACCAGCGAACGTTTTCTCTGCCGCGAATGCTTTTTGAATATGTATGATCACGTGCCATCAAGCTTTTGAAACAGTTTGTATGCGTTAATCGAAGCTTTATTGGACGATGATGAATTTATGAAAGATTGACGGATAAAAAATCGTTAAAAAGTTAAATGACATTTGCATCAAAAATCATTATTTCATTCACATTCAAGAAATTTACAAAGATACTGATAAGTCCATTATGAATTAGAAATAATTGAAATATCATTATTAAAAATAATTGCCAAGAGAAAGAAATTTTCAATCATGCTCCAATTTCATTTAAATAATCTTATCGAATGACCCGATATTCATATGAGTCGAGGCTGCTTGGCAATGAGCCGAAATTTTTTCCGGTATATTTTTATCACCTTCGTTCATCGGTCACGATTGTTTCTGCACGATAGATTTGTCAATCAGCTATATAACTAAATTACAAAGATACTTCTTTTTACATTTAAAAAATATTAGATAAGTTTTATTATAGTTTACTCAAATATGATCACTATTTATAAAATTTCTCATTCACGTAACACATTATTTGTTATAAAAATAAAAACAATTATCCACTTTTGGTGATCCTCACTCGTTTTGTTTCAACAAATTTTTCTTCTCTAAATTGTTATTCTAATTCAATAAAGTTACTTATTTACATGAAGAAATTTATATACGGGTTTTAAAACAGTTTTCAGTGATTGCACCACATATAGGAAGAAACGATGTGTTGCATGCGGAGTACAGCCGCCGACTGATGAGCATGCGGTCCGCTAGAACGAACCCAAAGGTACAGCAAAGTGGAAACCGAGTACAGAGCATCCAGCGCTTCAATCGTATATTGACTCAATTCATTTTCAACTTGAAAATTTAGCTTTTTTCGTCACCTTTGAAGAATATAAATAATACAAATAGTTGATTGTTAATGACCAAACATCCAAATCACTAATAAATTAACACTTTAACAATTGAAATACGTAAATGAGTTGAAAATATTTAATATTGCCATCCTTAATGATACTTTTAATTAGATACTCAAGTATTGGAAGATGATAATAATAGAAGAAAAATTTATAAAATATTGAACTTCCAGTATTGTGCTGATATGAGTTATTTGGATGGCAAAATTTTATAGTCGTATTTATGATAGTGAGGACACCAATCATTAAAATAAAATATAATGCTGAATTGATATTGCCTTTGAAGAAGCATCTCATTAAGATTTAAATCTCCAAGTAACTTTTTTCAATTACTTGAGATCAAATATTTAATTAAATAGTTCAAAGCATAGAATCATTAAACCGTTCATTAATAATGAGAATACAAGTGTAATTAACTTTCACAACAGTGATAATAAAGATAGTTATAGATTGTTCTGCAATGAGGGTAGGAGTTTCATTCTGTGAATAAACTTCAATCCTTGGCAATATTGAATTTGAAGAAATAATAGAATAATATTTTTTAGTTGTAATTCAAGAAATATCTCAATGAATTTGGATCCATTAATGAAAATATTATAATAAAAAATATTACATTCTAAATACTTAATGAGGAATTAAATGTAATTACATTGATACTAATTATCCAACTGTTTGAAATTTATGATTATGTATTGAAACAGTTGATAACATTATTTAATTTAATTCCAATAATATCGATGACAAAAAAGTCAATGGCCTATGTGACCTATGAACTATCATACAGGGTTCATAGACAGTCACCCTCTAATTTAATTACATCATTAGTTGGTAGATACCTTGAACTCATACCGAGACAGGGAAAATATACCTTATGAAGACATGCACCATAGGATGGTATGTACTAGTCTGAGAGCTTGCTCTTGGACCTATCGAGTTACCGCATGAAACATTTTTTGTTGTGAAGTACTTACTATTTTTTTGAAAACTTAATGGGCCACCATCTTAAGTGGTGCACAAGATTTACATGGTTTTTTAAATCTTTCAATATAGGTACAGTAATCGTACTAAAGGAGGCTTGAAATTTAATACTTACTATGGAAAATAAAATTATCATTTAGTGCTTTGATTTATATGGAACCATCACCTCAGCAAGACATTTTTTAAGTTTTTTATTTTTTCGATAGGAAATATCAGCAGAAGAATGATGTAACCAGCACTGAGTTTGTCATGATACTTGAAATTTCCACATTCACTCTAGATCTACTTCTTCCTCTTAACTACTTTCTCCAACAAGTTTCCGTGGTGTAGCGGTTATCACATCTGCCTAACACGCAGAAGGTCCCCGGTTCGATCCCGGGCGGAAACATTTTTTACATCTTTTATGTTAAATTTAAATTATTTCGCCATATCACCATATTTTTTTTGCTTTACTTCAATTTATTCATATCTCTTTTTGATAATTTTAATTCCCGTTTGAACTTATCATCACTGCTGAGTCATTGTAACTATGTTGCCGACTGGTAGAAAAATAGAGAACATTTTTATCGACTGCTGCTATTCTATCGATCGTAAAGGTAAATTTTGTTTTTATCGCTAATCAGTACTACCTCAGATTACTGTTGAATTTACTTATAAAACATAGATGGCTCTGTGGGGGATTTTTTTCGTGTTTTTATTGATTCAACTTTGAAATTTCTATAGTAACATGATTATTTGATCGATTGTGTATTTTCTAAAAAAACGTTTTGCCAATCTCTTTTGTCATTATTGAAATTAATTATCATTTACTGGTGAGTAATTTATTACAATTATAATACGTAATGCACAATATCTTTTATTTCGATAAATGAGTAAGAAAATGTATTATAGAGTGTATTAGAAAATTCAGAACATAATTAATTTAATTTTACTTCTATTAAGGCCAGGCATAGAACTATCTATGGTAGGGTAAAGTCTCTTTGACATCAGTCGGTGATTGAGACACCAGTCGACAGACAGTTTTCCCTCAGGTAAACTGGATCAAAGCTTGCAAGGTGCAGAATTGCTCTTGCCTGTCGACGTCAATTCCTAACTAATACGTCAAAGTACTTGGTACAACTATCTAGAGTTTCTTTGATCCCACAGTCTTCTAAATCACCCTTGGCTGCTTTCCGAAAATTTACCCTTACACAGAGTCACGCGTCGTGAATGAATGTTGCAGGGTGATGAAATCCAATTTAACTTGTAGGCACGTGAACATTCCATCAAAACAACATCACTATTAGAATAAAAATTGTTTAAGAGAAAAACACTTTTGTTCAATCAAAATTTTGAAAATTCTTTTTTTCTATAAATCAATAAAACAAAAGGATTGAAATAGCATCTACGAACAATTGTAAATTTAATTCTATAAAAAGAAAAAATGACAAAGTCAAAAAGTAGGCGTCATGACATTGATACATGAAAGCAGATGGTTACTTCAGTTAGTTCATATTTTCAGTAGGTCGTCTCACCGTTGGTTTATTTTTATCGCGTCATTTTAAGAGCAAATAAAAGTGAGATAGAAAAAAGAAACAAGTAAAAGTATCAACCACATAAGAAAGGAAGATAGGAGGGCATCAAAAAATTTGAGGGAGGAATCGTCTCCACGATCACAGTCCTCTTTTGCTATAGATCATTCTATTGTGCGAAAGGGGGAGTGTATATACATTATGTTGGACACATTATGGCAAAGCAATGTGTGTACACACTCTGGGGACAACACGACACAGAATGTGCGGTGTTTGGTCTCCATTAATATCGGATCGACTGGATACTACCCGACCTCTTGTATCTCTTTTTTATGGAGCCATATGTCTTCTGTGCATCGCGTCCCTGCACTGGGCCACTCATTTGTCAACTTGCAATCTGCTGGTGTTGCCATTTGATGACTTTCAGTCAAAGTACGCAAACTCATTGGTATTGTTTATACCTGTGAATCATAACAGTGATTTATCTGTTGACTGAAATGCAAAAAAACCATTTTTTATTCTGTTATTTATGAATAGTATGCTGTGTAATTCATTTTTTATTGTTCGATGACTCGTCAATTATTATTTAATGATGATCAAATATTTTTTTAAAGTCCTATATTATTTTTAAAAAAAAATTTTGTTGTGGTTGACTGCAATTAATTTCGTTCTCTTTACAATTTATAGTTATAGAATTTTTTATATTTGCTATCACATAAAAAATCGAATAAAATTCAAGACTAAAAATTGTAATACATTTTTTGAAGTAAAGTTATGAGATAGCAAAACATATTATGTATATGTATGCGACTGAAAAAAATCGAAAAGCCCATTTGGGAGCATTTAAATGGCTTGAAGACACCTACTGTGTTGACGGAGGGTAGACTATAAAGTCAACTGGACCCCCTACATCTATCTGCGTAGGGTATTTCGCAGTTTTTTCATTTCGAATTCATGTCATTCAAAAAAAATCTCAGCTGCATGCTATGTACTTACAAAAAAAATCAGTGTTTCCACAAAATCAATAAATAAAATATCATTTATAAATTTAAATAAAAGAAAAAATTTTTTTTTGATTTAATTTATCCCTATTTAAATTTTTTTTTATGAAAACTTTGGTGATTTAAAAATTAAAAAAAATTACAGGTAATTGAAATGAATAATGGTGTTAAAACATTGAGGGTGATGTAAAAAAAATATAATTTATTAATAGCAAATATATCAATCAGTAACTCTTTTTTATTGGAATATTTGTTTGATCTACATAGAAGGTCGTATAAAGTTAATATAAAATATGATTAGCACCCGCGGAATGGAAGGGTGTCTTATGTACACCATCCCTAACATTGCATAATATCAATGGATGACGGGGTAGCAATGATCACATCGCATTAGCAATGAAGCGTTCTATGAGCAACTACCGCTACTTTGAGGGTAAAACATCCTGAATGAAGGGGCCATAGAAAACAAGAAGGGAAACCCCTATCAAGTATTAGGCCTACGTATTGGTTCAATCGAACCCCTCTAAAGCGACTCGGGTGTAAAATAAACGATGCCTAATTATACGCGTCCCGTCTGCGTGAAGCTGAAGGGCGAGCAAGTGCTTGGGTAATGTGAGAAGGTGAACTTCCTGTTAAATAGGATTGGGACAATGTAGATTGATTATGTGTAGACGTTAATTTCACAGTTATTATCAAAAAAAAGCATGCTCTTCTTGATAAATCAGACGATTTTAATTATTAAAACTTTCAGATAAAAAATTGCAATTTGTTTGAAAGTCAATTACATTATTCACATGCAAACTATGTATCAGAGGAGTAGACTGAATTTTTGAACTCCCTTGTTGCATAGAAGGTGGAGCATTTGTGGGTTGGCTGTGCGATGATTAATTAGTGTTTGATGAATATGTATGAGAGGAAGGAAACAAAGTAAAGCGAGACAACGATCTCATGGTCCAATGTCTCCAACACCGAGCTTCAGCTCTGTATATTCTATCACCCCCTCATCCCCATCACAATATCGTATTTACCACCCTCAAGCCACAGCCCTGTATTTCAGCTCGGTCAAGTCCTCTATTCAGCGTGCTATGTTTATCAATGCGGTTCCTGAATCGAATGGGCTTAGTTCAGTCGCCACTGCATCTATAACGCATACACTAATCTCACCAGGTCAATAATTTCTTTTATTTTCTATCGACATTTTTTTGGTTTATTCAAATATCAAGTTTATATATCTTCCCATCGCAGAAACATTGCCTATACAATACCGAGAAATAATGTAAGTGTATTTTACAGATGAAAATAAATTTCTCTGGGAAATGAATTTTTATTGAATCGATAAATTAAAGCTTATTTTTTGAATGACGAGTGACGATGAAGTTTACTGACAGGAGCACAGTATATAGATAGCCATGGTAGTGAGAGGTTGGAGTATTGTTCAAACCCAAAGAGAACAAAGCGAACAATGGTGGAATATAGGCGCCGCGTCGCGACCCAGCTTACATTTGCGAATACAATTATATTGTGGGACTCGATTACCATTTAAATGGGAACAAACGTGAAATGCTAAAATATACTCCTGTATATGTCGACACTCATTTTAGAAGACTTTTCCCATCCCTCCTTCATTTCATCCCCCGAAACGTGTACATACTTTTACGACTACATTTTTAACAATAAGTATGGAAATTAAATGTCTCGAAATTTTAGTGATGAAAAATCGTGTGAAAAAAAAATCTCCAAGTGGCGAAAAATCATCACCCCAACCCCTATTATTATACACTTAATTTCTTAATGAGCCGAAGCAAAAGAGGGTGCATAAAACGATTTCGTGCACTGATTTCACGGACCACCTGTCGCACTTACTGGTTTTTCTCTTCCTCAATTCTTTCACTGTGGATTGAACACAGGATCAGACGTTTTATTCCAAATGTCGATGGCTTTCATGAAGTGTATGATAATCAATTTGAATTCATTAACTGTACAATTATTAATACAATACCTGGATTACCTTTAGATATTCATTAGTTAATTTTACTAATTCTTGATGTATCCACCAACCTCTAATACTTTGGAGATTTTTAGAATTTCGACAAATAAAAGAAGGAGATCATCATGTCACATGTTTTAATGTTTGGACATTGCAAGTAAAAGCTGTATCAATATTTTCTCTCTTCTATTGTTGTGGTTTTCTCGTAAAGAGTATATTTTTCACAATAGAACAATATTTACTTTGAAATAAAAATCTAAAATTTTTATAAAAACATATTATGATCATCAGACATTTTAAATGACAGGAGGCAGTTTTTTTATTTAATTAAATAAATATTTTATTTCATTATAACTTTTAACAACAAATTATTCGTTCACTTCTGTTTTAGAAGTCTACTCACATAAAAAATTCATCAATCTTCTATCAAAATTATAATTATCATCATTTATCGTTTACCCTCGAACATCTACTAACTTTCACATTATTTTTATGTACAACAGTGCCATAGATAAACCAAAAGAGTCATTTAGACTTTCACCATAGAAATCTTTACACAGAGAACCTTGAAGGGATGTTCGGAGCTTTATAGAGCAGTGTAGAGAAAAGGCAAATGTGTTCGGTAGACAGTTCAGAGGCAGGGGGGTTAAAGGGCAGAAGAGAAAAGGGGCGGCTTAAAGATACGTGCGGTCAGCATCACAAGGGCTAACAAAGGTCGACCGATGGGTTCAGGCATTCAGATGGTAATGCATCCAATATATTCGAGCATGAAAGTCAGTAGTCCACATACAAACACATACACTCGCTCTGAGTTATACCGGTGTAAGAGAATCAAACCAAATATTGGCAATATCATCCCCTTATTGTGCTGCTACTCCTCCTGGATCTAGCGTGACCTGCTATGATGGAGTTTCAATACTCTCTTAGCTTCTTCCTCATTTTAGTTGATTCCAATGCTGCTGGGAACACTCATGTCTATTTAAATAAACGATTCTTACGTTAGAATCAATATCAGCTTTTTAATCCCACTGACAAGGATTTTTCTAAAAAAAAAACGAATGAGTTAATCTCATTGAGTTGGAATTTTTTTTCCATTATTTATGATTTATGAAGTAAAGTTGGAAGTTTAAAATTTACTTTTTAAACTGGACTCGACGGTTTTTGTGCTGCAAAGTTTTTTTAAAAAAAATAAATTATCAAATAAAGTTGATGTAGATTTTGTATTAAATGATGAAGTGAGAGAGAAGAGGTTTCTTTTTTTTTAATGTAAACTATTTTTAGCTGGTTGGAATAACTAAAAATTACAGATTTATCGATATAACAGATGCACACGACTGACGGATCAACGGACGCGAGCAAGATCGAGGATTTCTGTTGATTTAGGGCGTGCAGCATCGCACCACGTGCGCATAGTGTAGACGAACGTAAAGCCCCCCTGATTTGAACTCTAGCACGCGCCACGATTACGCGATTACGCGTGTCATCTCGCCTACGTGGGGTTCCGTCATGTTCCAAACGTCACGAAGAGTAACAGAGAAAGTTACTTGGTTTTGAGCAGACGGAGAAACTAAGTGTCTTTTACATAACCAGTGACATAAAAAAAAGGCTTGTTCATATCATTGGAAGATTTAATTACAGAGTTTTTAATTTCTACTTGATATTATGGATTTTATAATTGAGGAAGACGTTTAATCTGCTTCAGTCTAAGTTGTGAACTAACATAAACAAATCAGTCAAGCGTTGCTAACAACAAATTTCAGTTAGATGGACACACACATTGATTTTACACTTCTTCCGGTCTTCTAAAAAATGATTCCCGGAAATTCCTGATAGTTGGATGAAATATTCAATAAGTCTGAATTGTGAGAACGAGATCTTTTTATTGCACGAGTTGAAATCATAATTAGAGCATAATTGATGCTAAAATTAAAGCAAGTTCCCGTTTTACCCCATTTTTGAGATGGAATAATTGATTTTATATAAGTTTGACCTGATTCTGCATTTCTACGCATCGAGACGAAGGGAATGAGTGGTCAAACTTGAAAATCGGACAACTTTGATTTTTCGACCCCAAAAAATGGCAAGTGGTACCCCTTTCCATTTTTTTAGGCCAAAAAATAAAGGTACTCCGATTTTGATGATTGAGGGCTCATTCTCTTCGTCTTGATGCGCAGAAATACGGAATCGGGACACCGCCCGAAAAAATCCACTTTAACACCCTCAAAAAGGGGTAAAACTAGTTACAAATTACGAATAATCATCCCCTTGACTTTAAACCCCTATAACTCGTAAACGGACGGTCTAATAACTATTTTTAGGGACGTTTTGGAAACCTTAAAATCTAAGCTAAATATGCATATCCATAAAATATATATAAAAAATTTATTTCACCCTTAAAATTGCTGAAATGTAAAAAAAAATCACATTTTTTTGGGAGTTTGCCAACTATTTTGGCCATTTTGAGGGTGAAAGAAATTTTTTAACCATTTTTCATGGATATGTCGCTTTAGCTTAGATTCTAAAGTTTTAAAAAACCTCTTGAAATCCATTATTTGATGACTTGTATAAGAGTTATAGTCGTCCAAAGTCAAAGTAAGGGCTAAAAATGATCTTTTCTTCGACTCAGAATCTTCATAACTCGTGAAAAAATCATCCGACGATAATTGTAAAAAGCTATTTAGAAATTTTAGAATCTAAGCTAAAGCGACATATCCATGAAAAATGGTTAAAAAATTTCTTTCACCCTCAAAATGGCCAAAATAGTTGGCAAACTCCCAAAAAAATGTGATTTTTTTTTACATTTCAGCAATTTTAAGGGTGAAATAAATTTTTTATATATATTTTATGGATATGCATATTTAGCTTAGATTTTAAGGTTTCCAAAACGTCCCTAAAAATAGTTATTAGACCGTCCGTTTACGAGTTATAGGGGTTTAAAGTCAAGGGGATGATTATTCGTAATTTGTAACTAGTTTTACCCCTTTTTGAGGGTGTTAAAGTGGATTTTTTCGGGCGGTGTCCCGATTCCGTATTTCTGCGCATCAAGACGAAGAGAATGAGCCCTCAATCATCAAAATCGGAGTACCTTTATTTTTTGGCCTAAAAAAATGGAAAGGGGTACCACTTGCCATTTTTTGGGGTCGAAAAATCAAAGTTCTCCGATTTTCAAGTTTGACCACTCATTCCCTTCGTCTTGATGCGTAGAAATGCGGAATCAGGTCAAACTTATATAAAATCAATTATTCCACCTCAAAAATGGGGTAAAACGGGAACTTGCTTTAATTTTAGCATCAATTATGCTCTAATTATGATTTCAACTCGTGCAATAAAAAGATCTCGTTCTCACAATTCAGACTTATTGAATATTTCATCCAACTATCAGGAATTTCCGGGAATCATTTTTTAGAAGACCGGAAGAAGTGTAAAATCAATGTGTGTGTCCATCTAACTGAAATTTGTTGTTAGCAACGCTTGACTGATTTGTTTATGTTAGTTCACAACTTAGACTGAAGCAGATTAAACGTCTTCCTCAATTATAAAATCCATAATATCAAGTAGAAATAAACTTTGTGTTTCTTTTAATAATTTCTCGGGCCATCATTTAACAATTTCATTCCACAATATTCCAGCTAAGGACTGTTATTCTTTTTCTTAGCTCTATAAATTCGTGTATAACAGTAAAATAAACAATTCTATAAGTTGTTTTGATAGACCAATTGAAAGTGTTTACAGAAAAGAAATCGTATTAGAAACTACTTACACACGTAATCCGATTAAGCGAATCAAATTGGCAGAGGATAGCCAATGAAGCTCCCACGCGGGGAGTGAATGAGGGTGTTTGAAATCATGCCCATAGAAACGAGAGAGCAATAAGAACAAGATAGATGCATAAAACTACAGTAAAATGTTGTCAGGCAGTGAAGCAATCGGTGAAACTAAGGGAGACCACCCAGTAGCACGTGCTGGCACGTGACACTGTCGCTTTGGACAAACAGTATTATGCACGCCCGTACTAACATAAATTACTGTGGCTTTAATATTGGACCTCAGCTTGCCTCATGGACTACCACCTTCGCGGTAAAACGTTTTAAATAATACTCACGAATCCATCTTACTCTTAATCCCTCTAAATAGTCTTCCAGAATGAAAACCATCAGAACTTTCAGTGAATGAACTTTGTGAGTTCTACTGGTACATGTTTTAAATCTTCTGATCACTTCATATCTATTTTTTATTTATCTAAAGTAATAAAATAATTAATTTGAAGAAATTTTTATAATAAATATTATCTTCATGTATGTTGATCATAGTTTCATGGCACACTGTTTGACCATGTATAGTATTCAGGTTAAAGCTAGACGTCAGCTCTTGATATACGAGGGTGGTCTTCTCATTACGGTTTACCGGTTATACCCCACGCCATTATAGTTTGTTGGTGAACGTGTTAATTATGCCAGTCGCGTTTACAGCACACCGAAGCTCGCCGAGTTAAATCGTCGTCGGGCTAACTACGGATTCGACCACGAATGTTTATGTGTATTTGCCCTAATTGCAACGGTAAAATCACAATTCAATCTGTTAGAAAATAAAATAATTTTTATTTGTTGAAATGGAAATCGTGAGTGGTATTTAAATTCACCAGCTTATTATTTAATCGCATTTTTCACATTTAAATAAAATGCAAGAAAAAATTTTAAACCTTGAACTTTTGTAATTATCTTGTCTTCTATGTAGATATGATGAAAAAAATTTATGTTAAAATTAATCTGTACATATGAAAGCATGGAAAAGAAAAACTAGAAGCAGAAAAAAAAATAAATGATGGAAAAATGTCGAGGACATATAATTTAGAACGAACAAACATTATCTCGCAAGACTTGAATAAACAATTAGTCGTAAATCTCATTTCCAGCTGTATGTAGAATATATGATTAAGTTATCATCTATCTTGAGTTAAGATACGAGAAATAAAATAGCTATAGTAAAACAAAAAATTACTAAATATGGATGAATCATTTTATATAAATAATTTTGAACATTTTTGAACACACTTTTATCAGAATTATTTTACTTTTAAAATAAAAAATCACCTCAACAGTTATTTATATATTCAATATATCCTTTCTTTGTTTTATTAGACAATTTTATTAAACATTTATTATTTTTTTAGGTTAATAAAATAGCTTGAGAAAAAATGCCATCAAATCATCGGAATCCTTATCCAGTGCCCAACATCTCCAGCGAAGGTTACTGGTATCCAAATGGTCCAGTTTTAGGAAAAAATATCTCACCTTATGACAGATCTTGGCAAACTAAAGCTAATGTTCCTGAACGTCTGTTTTCCCACCATACTCTTAATAGCATTCGTCGTGATTGTCGACTCATCAGACAAAAGGTAAATTATTCTCTACAATTACCACGACAATGGAAATATTTATTGATTCAATTCCGCAGGAACCAAGGGATGCACTTGATTTCGCACTTTCATCTATCTACGTTCATAGCGATGACTTCATGGTTCCCAAAATGTATGTCTTCATGCAGCCAGAGTCTTTGAATCTACAAACTTGGAGACAACTTCGAAATGAATTGAAAGTAAGAATAATATTAGCAAAAAGTGTTGTTCTGGTTGTTATAAATAATGGAATGATACCAACTTTTTTTAGCCTCCAATGAGTTCAATGACAACAGAACAAAAAGCTCGACAAAAAAATTTTTCCGAGAGAGTATTTTCTAGCAAAAACTACCATTCAACATCACCAAGTAAGAACAACTACACAACGACAGAACCATCAAAAGAGTACTCTCACAAACGAGATGATATTCTGGATAAAAACCAGAGGCGTGTGACTTATGCTTCACAAATGCGCGCAATTGAGAGGATTCATCCCAGCAGTCTCAAGCTGGCTATCGAAGGTCCTCATGCGGATCAAACAAATCCTGGCTACAGTCGTAAAACTGATGGAACATTTTATAGCATTTAAATGTTTGACAATGAGATACATATTAATATCATTCTGCAAACTTATATTTCTTTATTTATTTTTATTAACTGTAATTTACTTCAATATTATCTCTCTAAACAATTACAGTACTTATGAGAATCGATGAAATTATATCACATCATAAATGTCAGTTATGCTAGCAGTTCCTGAATTATGGAGCATACAACAATGTTATCTGATGATGTTGAATTAGTCTCAGAGATTACATCAACCACTATTGATAAACTCCAATGAGAATTAATGTCAAAAAGAATCAAGATTATCTCAAATAAGAGTCCAAGTTTTAAACTTAATTAAGTGATTAAACAAAATGGAGGATTGAGTTTGCTTGAAGCTTCTTAAAATTCATCCTGAATCTTATATAAAAAATTTTAATGATCCTATTTAAATTCAAAACTGATGGCTGTTTTTATTTAGTGAGCATCTTTTTATTTCAGCATATAATTACCAATATAATTGGAATATAAAATTGATCGCAAAACTTTCCCCAAGAAAACATGAGTCAATATGGGTCAGAAAGATTCCCATTCTGTCCTAATCCGTGTTTGTAATAAAGTAACGTCCCGCTGCCAAGGGTAAACTATCTCGACACTATCCCCGCACCAAACGCATATGTTCACTCATGGAATATCATTTATGTTTCCACCCTACATAAACGTTCCTGTCTTGTGTTCATTTGACCCCCAACTCATAACCTTCTCGATTGCTCAGTCTGAAAGTTCTACATACAACACATCCGCACCCTCCAAACTCTTATTTTTCGCCCTCATTTTATCCTTATACATAGCCTTAATCCAATCATGATTGCCCTAGCCACCACCCTTGGTCTTCTCACCGCGAATCCTCATTTCAATTTTTTTCAACCCCTTTTATCACGACGTGTGTCTGAACTCTGTTTACATATATCCCTTTTAACAATCATCTTTTCACGCGTCAAGGATTTTACTTGTTTTAAATTCGTCCCGATTGATATATTTGAAGTGAGCATTGGAGAAGAAAAAAAAATAATATAGCTACATCTGATGATGAGTATGAGAAAAGGTAGATTGATTTCTTTTTTTACGATGCTTAAGAAAACAGTAAGGGACGGTGGCAGTTCTTTTCGCAAATGGATCGATCAAAGAATACGATCCACGGATAAAAGACAAAACAGCGTAGCCAATTACTTGGCCGAGCGGTTTTATTTGTATTTAATTCTTATTTAATTTACTTTTTACTACCAGGCTTCAAGGTATACTTTCTACTCTGTCAACCTTCAGCGTTTGCAAAATCAACTAACGCTTCACTTCTTTGCCTGTATTTCGTTCTAGTTTTACTAACCCTCATATTGTGCTGGAAAACGAGAGCATTTGCTCGGGAGTCAATTAAATAACACAATTGGATCCAGTAAGATAATAGGGAATTAGGTAGTGTGTTAAATTTTTTTATCTCAATCTTATTATTTCCCATCATGGCATCATCTAAAATACCACCACAACCCTGACTAGCAATGAAATATAGCCACGTATGGGACTGATTTCAATGATGAAAATTTATTTAAAAATAATCTAAAACAATAAAAATTCTTAGAAAATAAACATGAAAAGTTTGTTGGTTTTAAACAAAAAAACATTGATGGGAAAAATAATAAATTTGAAAGATCACAAGATTATTTTTATAACATTCTTAATATTTTTTTATTTTATTACTCAGAGTGACATAAGTAAAACAAGAAAAGAAATACGATTGAGTAGATTCACTTCTGTTTTGAGGGCTTTACAAAGATAGTTGTCTATATTCCGAAAATAAATAGAAGCGGCTTTACTTGGCGAGGGAACGGGTGATTGGTTACGTTGCGTGTTCTATACGTCTTTACCCTGCCTATCCTCGAGTCTTTCCGCGCGTTTGCCTTCGTCTAGTAGTTGAGTTAGAGAGAAAGAATCTCTATGTAGGTGAGAGAGCCAAATAACTTGCAAGATAGAGATGAGAGAAACAAAAGTGAGTCGTTGGAAAGACGCGTTGATCCTTTCGGGATGAAGTTGCTATTCTACTGAACTTGTTACGTTATATTTATCAGCGTAGAGCAGCACGCCGTCATAGTCTCTAGGGTAACTTCTTTTCTTTTCCTGTATCTTTCATATGTGACATTTTCACATTCAGTCATTTCTCTACAACAACTACAGAAATACAATCTATGAATTCCCATTCAATTTTATTTATTAATATATTGGTTGCTCAACTTTTGCTTTTATTTACATTCAGATAATACTTTCTATATTTAGGATATCCAAGAGCTTATTTTATTTCGAGAAAAAAATATAAATTCTCGTTATCATTCATCAATAAAAGATATTTTTAACATTTTTTTCTTTCAAGCTGAATAGAATTTAATCCAATGAAAATCAAGTCATTATCTTGACAACTTGCTTTTATGGTTTATATAAAATTTTTTGTCCACTCTGAACAATATGCTTATTTCATTCTCAAGTGTTTATCTAGTTTTTTAAAGTTATTTAGAAAATATGTAGAAGAGCAGTTATGATACGATTGAAAACACTTGAAAATAGTGAATGTAAAGGGTTTTCAATGAGTCAAGGGGTTGCTACAGTGTGGGAACTCATCTTAATTGCTTTCAGATTTACAAATACAATCATTTTAAAACATGTATTATAATATTTTTAAAAGAAAATTTTCAATTAAATTCTATGATTATATAACATGATTCTGTATCAAGGTTTTTTTTTTTAATTAAAATAAAATCTTCTCTGTTGATAATTTCTAATTATATCAAATACAAAAAGAAAGTGAAATAAAGATCACGTGAATGTTCGAGAGCGTGCCACAGCAAAAGCTCTGAGGATCAAAATGCAGCCCTCCACAGAAGCAGAGATTACCTTCAAGGGCTCTTTCGACATCCCTGTCTCCGAAGCTTTAACTTAACCTGTGGCATCCCCTTTGTAGCTCGCCTCTTTTGAGATCACTTAAAATAACATCCTACAATCTACTTTATACATATTTTAAAACAAAATATAATCCCATCAATGTCTTTTTTATAAATCACACTCTATTTTTATTCCATCTATTCACGTCAGATATATTTACAACAATTATTGTCATATTTGTCAAATCATATCTATCAATATTGAATAAGTTTATTATTATTCTGCAAAAGTAGACATCAACTTCTTAAGGTGGTTTTTTTGAAAATGCCACCATTGAAAAAAATGATAGAATCACATTTGAGTGACAATTGAACCCTCCGATCAATGATGTCTTATGCTTAACTGCTTGCTCGTATAGCCATGATATTTCTGGGGTATCACATGTAGCACATATACAACAATTATGACAGAAGAACGATATAGTAGACGTGAATCGAATAACGACGCACTTGATGCTACAATTCGTTTGCTCTCAGTTTTTCTATCCCAGTCGTTCGTTATCAAAGATTATGTGCTTCATGAGGCATAAATTCAGGGGAGAGCAGTGAGTCAGGGACAATGATACAACGATAAACTGCAACGTCTATTTCAAATTGTGACAGGAATAAGCAAATTCATCTGATTGTTTTTTTTTTGTGTGGTTGACTGTAATTGTAGATTGTTCTTGATTCGAGATTTTTGATCAGTCATTCAATTTCAATAAATATCTATAACTGTCAAGGTTATTGACATATTTTTCTAATAAATAAAATTACGAACAGCCCGATAAATCACTTAAATATTATTTAAATAATTTCAGTTGATTTTTAATGTAGATAAAATAAATGACAATTTTAATTAATATTAAAAAACATACGTGAAGATAAAAAGTAATTGTTTTATTAATCGGCAAGTTTAATTATACTTAATATTTACTTGAATGTGAAGAAAAGATAGCGACAAGTCGTTTACTCACGTCTGAAATTTTTTTGAACACTCAAAAGATAAGGTTTTATGGCCCATCACTTATCATGATTGTAGTCCATCGTGCATTTTCTTCTACATTAAACTTCTTACGACTTGCATCGGTCAACAATAAGAATTATTACTCAACAATTGTGACATTAAATACAAATACACAGATATACTCTACCTGATATTCTTCAAATAAAATCTGTCTCACAATTCTCTTTTTAACGACATTGAGTATATTGTGAACACAAAAAAGACTTACAATCGTCAATGCGCTTCATAACATAATAAAATTCGCGAATTTTTCAAACAAGTGCAAACGAAGTAATTAAGATAACTCGAGCTATATAGATAATATCGTTTATAACCAGTCATTAATATAATGTTAAAAAAATCTATTATATCATAATAATAATAATAATATACATTGGAAAATAGAACATTCAAAAATAAATAGCGAAACAATTCCAACACCGAGGATTTAATTCTCTCTGTTATTGTATTATTGTAAAAAAATATTAATAATAAATATTTAAAGATGATAATTATATTTAAATAAATTGTTAAAAGCAATCTAATAATCATCTCATCAATCAAAAGTCTTTTTGCTCTCAGTGAACCAATTACTGTCGAATTCATTTGATTCAAAAGACTCTCGGAATATCTAACACACGAATAAGCTTAATTTTGATAAATTACTATTGGAAAGGAAGATAAGTTCAAGACGACCACATAATAGTTTAAGAAACCGATGTTCGGTTCGCATGGATGGAAGAAGGAATCGATGCGTGAATGTCAAAGGCGAGGAAGAAAGATGGGAATATTCTTTCAGTAGCAGTGAAGCTATCTTGGGGTGGCAAGGGCATCGTTCATCATTCTATTGCCGTGGCAGGCGCGAGAATATTCATAGACTACCCTCCTTATTCCACCTATCCCCTGGCATACGATAGACTGTGCAGGACTGTAGAACATTCGCTCTTGCGGTAACTGCGAATCTACAGTCGCCTTTTGTAAAGTAGAAGGGGTCGTGATATATGACGGTGCTAGCACGTGGCTCGTTTCACACCTTCATACAATCTTCATCGTCTCTGATGCCTGCTGTACCTT